CTATTTTAGTGGCATCCTCTACGTAAATTTGCACTAATATCAAAAGAAAAGAAAAAGTTTATTTTACAATTTAGTTTGAATTCTGAAATTGGCTCATACATTTCCAGACAATAACAAGAAGTCTTTATTGTTTTCCGGTATGAAAAATAAGGGATCATTTCCAAGGTAATTCCTGCACTTTTTAATGGCCTTCAATGTACAAGCCTGTAGCTGCATTCTGTTGAAGAGAAAAAAAAATCATTCAAAAGGTCATGTTGTTTCAGTTATTGCGGTCCAAAAGACGCATTTTTAAAAACTTTAATTCCGAAATGTGACGTCATGGGTCTTTTGACAAGAGTTTAACATATAACAACCCAGCACTCATTACTAATAGGCCTTTTATAGCCAGTCATTTACGTGGTGCAAAGCCCAAAGCCGCCGAATACAGTCAACTTCCTTTATAGCGGACACTGTAGGGACCTTGACTTAGTGTCCTCATTAGCGAGAGTCCGTAATAGCCGCAATTTTTTTGCCTGGGATTTAGCTACCCTCTGTATTATCGGGGTGTCCGTTTTAGCGAGGTGTCCCCAAGGCGAGAGTTGACTGTAACAACTCAGTACTCATTATTAATAGGCCCTGTATTCATTCACGTGGTACAAAGCCCAAAGCTGGAAGGTAAGGAAAGGACTGGGACAAGACAAACAAAAGGCTTACATCAGTCAACTGTGCATTTGCTGTTTTAGGTTAATAGAGAGGAGAAGTCATTACGTCACTTTGCCATGGTAGCAAAATTTCTGGATGACAACAAACCAAAACGTGAAAAAGTGAATTTGCCCTGTGTCAAACTTCATCGATGTTATTTAATTTCATTTAATTTGTCAAATGTTGGCGAAATTTTCTTGGTTAAATCCGAAAGGACCGTATCTAAGTTTAGAAAAAGAAAAAGAAACTTTTTCCGTTGTGCTCACCTACTCAATAAAGCGGGCGCCTGAAATTAGGAAGTTTCATGTCGCAGTCGTGCAACAACGGCTAAGAAATGTACAAAAAAGCGTGATGCACGTGCAAAGTTGTTTTTTGGCTCTAACCATGATATTTTTTTGGTGACGTTGCAGGCATGGCACTGAAGGCCAACTTTTTCAAATTTCAATCCATGTCCATCCTTGTCATCCGTTGTAACAGACCAGAGACAGGAAACAGTTTCAAAACCTGAACATAGTCTTAAATAACAAAACTGGACTATTTTTATTTTTTGAATTCAACTGATGCGAAAAAAGTTTTAGTTTTGTAAAACAAAAGAGCAAATAGCGTGAAATAGCGCCTTTAAAGCGCCAAACAATGTGAAGATTGGCTGCGCGCTTTCAATATTTATACCTGTACGTTATACAGCAAACTCTCCCCTGACAAAGAATCAGCGAAACCATTTGACCAAAGACTGTAACAATCCTGTGCTGAAGTCTCACTGGAGTTAGGTATTGGCGAGGAAAACTGAGATCCACTAGAAACTGCCTGATGATGAGGAGGAAACTGGAAACTAGGCAACTCGGTAAATGTTGGCGGCGGGGGAACTGGGAGCTGAGTCGGATTCGGGTACTCGGAGATCCAGGGTCCCGATTTCAGTCCTCCGTTTGGATCCATTTCATAAGCGGGTGGGTATATCAATGGAGTGTTATAGCCATCAGAAATACTATTCTGAATGGAATCTTTCAGACTTTGGATGTAGTTTGTAGCGATCCGCAGCAGCTCTAGTTTTGTCTTCACGCGGGTTTCCTCGTAGTTCGGAATCGTACTTCGCAGCTCTTCAAAGGCGTCGTTCATTTTTCTGACCCGTTCTCGTTCTCGACGATTTGCTAAGACTCGCTTGGCTCTTGACATTTGTCTTTTTCGTGACTTCTTTGCTCTTTCCTCCATCGTGGAGTCCATGGCTGGGGAATTGG